GCGCCATGTGGTCACCTCCTGGGCAGGCGGGGATCGAACTCATGCAGAAGTGGCTTAAACTTCTTACTGCTGTGCTTTAACCCGCTGCGCCACCAGGGAGGGCCTTGAAATCGTATTTTTAAAGATCCAAATGAATGCCAAAAAATCCTGTCGTCAAATACTGAAGTTACACGGAAGCCTTCATTCCTGACCAAGGCAGCCAGGCCGATCCAATGCTCATGTTCGCCAGTCACAGCATTCGTTGAGGTTCCGACTTCAGTTCTCCCACTTAACATTCCACCCCTGTTTGGTACTGTTTGGACTTACTAAGATGAATGCTTCTAACACATCGCAAGGAATCCCCTAGCCGGAAAGCTATCTTTTATGACAAACTGCAGGTTTCCTTGGCAAGGCGATACACAGGCAGCCTGTTGTGGCTGCCTGTGTTCCAGTCCCCAGACGCCTCACCTGTAGTGAGACCTGTTGCTTGTTTTAGCCATACCTGCTGAGACACGTTCCAGAAGCCCAGGCCTCTCGGAAACCACAGACAGATTCTTCCCACGCAGTCCCCATCTATATGACCTGACTGTAAGATACAGGACATGGTGTACATGACCGCAGGGGGGATGGACTGCCTCTCTGTTAAGGACTCTGTTTCCGGGATCAGGACCAAAGGTTCCAAGCAAAACCCAAGATCCACCTTCCATTGAAAAGCTCAAGTGTCACAGTCCAAGAAGCAGCAAGTTGATGAGACCAGCTTGAGCAGAACAGGGACAAATTTTCAATCTCTTCCTTCTGCCTCGAGCCCTAATTTATGCACCTTTTCTAATAGAAGTAGGTAAATGTGCTAAAGATGATCTGGTGAAGGATTCTGTAGGCGACCCATTGTGAATCTCAAGCTGTATTCCTTTCCTTTACCTTTTCCTTCCTGTTACCTCTTGACCTTCTGCAAAAATCACACCGATTCGTTGTATAATTATCTGCACTCTGTAGTGAGTTAACTCCCTGGAGGCTGCTGTTAAAGTCTGAGATTCGATGACTGACACGGATTAGTTCCAACTTCATGGAAGGTGGGGTTCACCTGGGCCCTGTTTTGTCCTTGGACCTCTCCAGACTCACAAACCCCTGCTTTCATTCTTCACTCCTTCCTGCCTTGGACGAGCCACGAATGTGGCCACTTTTGAGAAGCAGGTGCATTTAAAAATACAGATCCCCACTGCCAGGACCACAGACCACCTTGGTTGGGATAAGGGTACCTACTTTGCTTTGCTGCATCCTAAGATCACTTCCAAATTTTTGCCTGCCCCGCAGAGCACAAAGTCAGTCACATTTCAACGGGAAGCTCTTTGTTGGGATAAAATATCAGAAAAAGGCTTTTCATACAAATGTGGCTGAAAGAGTACATTTGCTTTAAGGATATCTGACTCGCACATCTTTGCCTACAAATGTTTTTAATGCAATAGCTTTATATGACTCTCACTGACAGTTTAAACAAATAAGTGGCTTCCAGGGGAACCATATCAAATCGAGCGCAGTCAGAAAAGGGACAGTCATATCCCTGAAAAAAATGATCTCTGGGAGTTCAGAACAACAGAACTGGACGACGCAACTGTCCAGACAGACCCTTGCTCCTTCCTCCTGGGTGATGACCCAAAGCACCATTACTTAAGGCACCTTAAATTTAGTACTAAAGACCTTTCTGTCCAGCCTCAGTACCAGTTCTCAGATCTCTAGCCAAACTGTGTAGCTGCCAAGTGGTAAACAAAATACCCTTAAACTATAAAGAAGATCGAACCACAGAGGACTGTATAAACATGAATGATGCACAGATCAGGTACAGACTCAAGGAGCTGTGATTTTACATGCTGTGGAGTCCCGTGGTGTAAGGAAGGAAAGAAGGCAACAGGAGAGTGAGTCCTCCCTCGGCAGGGTCAGTAGCTTCTTGGAACAAAGACTTGAAGCAAAAAGGTTCAGGAAGTCCATCCTAGAATGATGTTTCATTCAACATCGCCTGGGATTTTGTTTTTCCTCATCACATTGTAAGGAACCAGCATTCAACAAAACAACATCAATGGGGGGGCCTGCTGTCTCTCACAGACAGGTTGACCTCTGACTGTGGTGGGTCATTCTCAATAGACCCATAACAGTGAGAGTGGGTCAGTGTCGGGTTGTGTTGCTTGGGATGACACAGTCCCACCTGGTCATGCCTCTACCCTCTCTATGACTAGTCTTGCAATTCTCTACTGGGTTTTCTGTATCTAGGAAGGGAAAGTAGAAAGA